TTCTCCATGTTGGTCAGGCTGGTCTCAAGCTCTAGACCTCAGGTGATCTGTCTACCTCGGCCTCCTAAAATGCTGGGATTACAGGCGTGAGCCACTGTGACTGGCCAATGCAGTTATTTTTTAAAAGCCTAAGCTGATTCCAAAGGGAACTCTAAAGCTTGGATAGCCCTCTCAATTTGGCCCAGATTATGAAGGGAGAGGGCCGGACATATGTTCCCATAATGACCAGTCATTAGACACAGGCTATCCTGGGGAGGGGATATGTCCTAGAATGAGGTAGCTCTCTCCAGATCAGGAAATTCTTGGAGAGGCTGACAACTGAGGGCTGTCTGCTGACAGCACTCCTTGCAAATGCTGAGGAAATCAGTCCTTCATTCTTGAAGGAGGTCTGGCTGGCACATTCCAGGATCTATTACAGTCCAATCTTTGCATTGCCTAGAGCCACTTCTTCTTGCTGCTTCTTCTTCGTTTTAATTTTTGAGATGGAGTTTCACTCTTGATGCTCAGACTGGGCTGGAGTGCAATGGCTCCATCTCAACTCACTGTAACCTCCACCCCTCAGGTTCGAGCAATGTCTCAGCCTCCTGAGTAACTGAGATTATAGGCACGCACCACCACGGCCAACTAATTTTGTATTTTTAGTAGGGACGGGATTTCACCGTGTTGGTCAGGCTGGTCTGGAACTCCTGACCTCAGGTGATCCACCCGCCTTGGCCTCCTAAAGTGCTAGGATTACAGGTGTGAGCCACTGTACCTGGCCTAGAGCCACTTCTTTGTATAAGTTTTAGGAACAGCTTCTCCAGAATTCTGGAGCACCTTTTCCCTGGGGAAAGCTAAGAGGATGAAGGTGAGTGAGATCATCCACAGATAGCACCGCTATAGTAGATTTCAGTGCTACAGTTAATACTCATTGTCTTCCTGTACTACTAGCCATCTATTTGACCCTTAAGCCTGACTAGCACCTCTGCTGGTCCTGGTGGTTTATATGTAAGTATGACCCAGACCATCAACTCCTAAGGATCTGAGTCCCTGGTCACCTATGTCTTTGTCAGGCTGTCGCTACTACACTTGTCTGCTTACTATCAACATTGCTCAACAGAATACCAAGGTACTTAAATGGATCACCTGGTGGAAAACATGTTTTTCCTTCTCGTCCTTATTGTGTATCAGCAGCTTTACCTCCTTCTGGTGATGGGAGCCATTTGCTTCTGCCAGAATGGTAATTCTTCTTCTTGTCCTGGCCTTTTGGTGTGAGAAACTTCAAGAACTCAGGTCACAACCTTTGTGGACATATTCCTTCTTAAGAACTTGGACTCTTAATTGTTAAAAACTCAGAGTTTTCACCAGGCGCAGTGGCACATGCCTGTAATCCCAGCACACTGGGAGGCTAAGGTGGATGGATCACAAGGTCAAGAGACAGAGACCATCCTGGCCAACATGGTGAAATCCCATTTCTAATAAAAATACAGAAATTAGCTGGGCATAGTGGCATGCGCCTGTAGTCCCAGCTACTCAGGAGGCTGAGGCAGGAGAATCACTTGAACCCAGGAGGTTGAGGTTGCAGTGAGCCAAGATCGCACCATTGCTCTCCAACCTGGCAACAGAGTGGGACTGCATCTCAAACAAACAAACCAAACAAACAAAAACAAACAAACAAAAAAACAAACTCGGAGTTTCAAGAATGGAAAGCACAAATTCCCGAAATGAACCATTGGGAGTGAAGGAAAATAAGTGTACTCTCACTTTTACTCCTTGGTTCCTAGACCTATGTATTCTACCTACAGAGGAAATAGCACCATGTAAAGGTCATTCCTTTAGAAAGTGCACTGCATTCTGAGGGATGGCGAGCCATCTTCATACGGCACTGTCTCTGATCTGGTGCTTCTGTCAGTACCAGTTTCTTGCTATGTGATACGAACATTGAATCTCGTGGTCATGTTCCTGTTTCTGTGCCTCCTTAAATACTAAATGAGTCCCTTTGTCTGACACAATAGTATGTGGGATCTCATATTGATGATGGAGGCTGGCTGCTACTGGTTGAATGACATATAGTTTTTTTGGTTTGATTTTGTTTTTGTTTTTTTTAGTGCCTCTTATGTCATGGATGCTCTGATGGGCATCTGAATAAAGATCTTTACACTTTGTGCTCACTTCCATAAGTTCATTTACTTCCATATGTTCATAGCCCTTGTTGCCTGCCAATCTTCCAAGTGTTCACCTTCCAAGACCTTCCAAGACCCTAGTCAAGCTGTATCACAGTGCCCATGAGTCCCTGAGTGTCTATTTAACTGCAGGGCCACTTCTCTTTCCACACAAAATGACTGACCAGGTGGACTTCCTGGAATACTACCCACTGGGAGGATTTCCCTTTGCCACTACCTTTCAAGACTATCCTGAGTGGGGCTGTTGCACAGCCATCATCTATATCTAGCTTGTACCAATATAACAAGTTGAGCCATTTGTGAATCAAGCTCTTACATCAACTTGTCATTATAGACCCGCATGTAGTCACGGATGTGAGCTGAGCAGTGATGTGGTGGTGAATATTTAGCAAGTAGCCTTCTGAAAAGGAGAAAAAAAGACCCAATTTGTAGTATTAACTACTTTCCATTCTGTAAATACTTATGGTGAATTTCAGCCTACCAACGTGGCATCAACAGGCTTGCAACATTCCTGAAAATTTAACAAGAAACTCTTATGAACTGGTACAAACCTGCTCCCGCATATTCTTAGAGCTGGGGAAGACGTGCTATGTAACAGTGGTGGATGACATGAGCTACCTGCATGCTACCAGCTCACTCGGCTTGCTTGTGCCCTCTGGTTTTATTGATGTTGAATACTAGATGTTCCTCTTCCATCTAGACCCATCCTAATTTATCGCTTGGTGGATGTGATAGAGCCTAGCTCACGAGAGGTAGTTTTGGTGTCTCCATAGTGAGGCACTTGTCTCTATTAGGGCCTAGTTGTATTCCAACATTTATTTTTTGGAAGGTGTATAATTCTCTGTTGCCATGGTATGGCTTTTATGCAGGATCTATGTTGTGATTCTTCCATTAGAGCTTGTCATAAAATCCACATGTCATCTTTTCACAATACTGATATTCCTCATAGCTTAGGGTCTGCTGGATTATGTAGTCCAAGAGGCCAGCTGCTTGCCCTGAAGCTTGGACTTGATGTGGAATCCTTTCCTGCCATGGGCCCCATCGAAAAATAGCAACCATTGTGTCATCCAGTATGTGAGCTGGAAGTGCACTTCTGGGAATACATTGCCTACAGAATCTGAAGAGGCCTACCTAGCACACAATGTGCTTCCATTCTTGTGATAGGAACTACAAGATGCAGTAATTTCTCCTTTACTTTGTAGGGGATGTCCTAGCATACCCCAGACAGTCAGACTTTTCAAAATTTACCTATGCAGTGTGCTTCTGAATCTTTAAGGTTTATTTCCGTCAAGAGTGCCTGTGAATTATCAAGACCTTCAACCTCCTAGCCACTCTTGTTTATTTGGTCCAACTAACATGATGTCATCAATTTCCTGGACCAGTGTGCTATTTATTCTGCAGCACCTCCAGCTGGTCCATGTCTCTTCAGATTATGTTATGACAGAGGACAGCAGAGTTAACATAGCTCTGGGACAAAGCTGTCAATGAACATTGTTGTGCATTCCAAAGAAACATGAATCATTTCTGATTCTATGTTTTATAGGAATAGAGAAAAAATGGATTTGCCAAATCATTGGCCACATATCATGTACCTGACTCCATGCTTATTTGTTCTAACAAAGATAGATCTAGAACAGAAACTGTAATTGGAGATACTGTTAAAATAATAGGTCAGGTCTGTGATAATCCACTGCCATTTTCCATGATCTGTCTGAATATTGCAGAGGCCAGATGGTTAATCTAAATGGAGATATAATGGCAACCACAGACTATTTGTCTTTTAGGTCTTTAAGGAGGCAACCATTTTAATATTTTTTCCCAAGATGCTTTATCATGGTAAAATATACACGAATAATAAAATGACCATTTTAACCATTTTTAAATGTACAGTTCAGTGGCATCAAGTACATTCACATTGTTGTGTAACTGTCACCACCATCCGTCTCCAGAACTTTTTCACTCTTCCCTGACTGAAAATCTGTGCCCATTAAACAGCGATGCCCCATTCCCCCTTTCTCCTCAGCCCCCGGCAACTACCATTCTACTTTCCGCCTATGAATCTGACTACTTTAGGTAGTTCAAAGCAGTGAACTCATATAATATTTGTTCTTTTGTGTGTAGTTTATTTCACTTAGCATAATGTTTTCAGGATTCATGTATGTTGTAGCACAAGCTTGATCAACCTGTAGTCGGTGGCCCACATGAGGCCCAGGACAGCTTTGAATGCGGCCCAATACAAATGCGTAAACTTTCTTAAAACATTATGAGATTTGTACATGAACCTTTTCTTTTTTTTCCCGCTCACCAGCTATTGTTAGCGTTAGTGCATTTTATGTGTGGCCCGGGGCAATTCTTCTTCCAATGTGGCCCAGGAAAGCCAAAGGATCGGACACCCCTGTTGTAGCATGTGTCAGAATTTCATTCCTTTCTAAGGCTAAATAATAGTCCATTTATACCTATATGACATGTTGTTTATTCATTCCCCTGCCAGTGGACACTTTGATTGTTTCTACCTTTTGGCTGCTGTAAATAATGCTGCTATAAACATTCTTGTACAAATATCTGTTTTTTGAGTCCTTGCTTTCAATTATCTTGCATATATACCCAAATATAGAATTTCTGGATCACATGGTGCTATGGTTTGAATGCCCCCTCCAAAACTCATGTTGAAATGTAGTTGCCATTGTAACAGTATTTGGAGGTGGGGCCTTTAAGAGGTGTTTAGGTCACGAGGGCATTACCCTCATGAATAAACTAATGCTGTTAGTGCCAAAGTGAGTTACTGTGGGAGTTCAGCCCCTTTTTCTTTCTGTCTCATGCCCTTGCTTCTGCCTTTAGTCTTCCAACGTGGGATGACCCTTGCCAGATGATGATGCCATGTTCTTCAGCTTTCCAGCCTCTAAAACTGTAAGTCAAATAAACTTCTGTTCTTTCTAAATTACCCAATCTGTGATATTCTGTTCTAGCAGTAGAAAATGGACTAAGACATAAGGTAATTCTATTTTTAATATTTGAGGAATCTCTATACTCTATATATTTCCACAGTGGTCAGACCAATTTACATTGTCCCCAGCAATGCACAGGTTTCCAGTTTCTCCACACCCCTTACAACAGTTGTTGATTTCTTTCTTAAAAGAATAATAGGCATCCTAATGGGTGTGAAGTGGTTTCTCATTGTGGTTTTGATTTGCATTTCCCTACTGATTAGCGATGTTGAACATCTTTTTATGTATTTATTTGGATATCTTCTCTACAGAAATGTTTGTTCAAGTCCTTTGTCCATTTCCAAATCAGGTTTTTTGTTATTTTGTTGCTGAATTGTAGGGGTTCCCCATATATTCTGGATATTAATCCCCTTTCAGAGCTATGATTTGTGAATATTTACTCCCATTCTGTAGGTTGCCTTTTTACTCTGTTGATAATGTCTTTTGATGAAGAGACTTTCATGAAGTACAGTTTGGGAAGTTTACAGATTTTATTCCTTGAAATATTCTCTCTTCCCTTTTCTTTCTCTCTTCTCCTTCTGGAACTCCCATAATGGGTATATTGGTCCACTTGATGGTGTGGCAGGCAGACCAGGTTTCCATTAGCAACAAGAACAGTCAGTTGCCAGTAACCCTTTACTAGAGTTTTGATGAATGCTGAAGTTAAACATTAAAGAACTAGAGAAACCGGCGCCTCAGTATGAGGCTGGAATGAGAAAACAAACCCATTAAGACCCTGCCTGGGTTTTCTGAGACCCTAAAGAATAATAGCATTCTTACACATACACCTCGCACTAGGACCCACTTAAGATTAAGAAACTTTCCAAGACTCTAGAGAAAGCTTTCCAGACCTGCGACCGTAGTTAAAGATTAGATATAGATTGAATGAAGCACTTCTGTTTGTAGTTGCAATTTCAGACATAGTATGGAGGAAGTTAATACTAAGATAAGTTCATGTTTATCTTGTGCACTCATCAAAATTATAGTAAAGGTTGCTAATGGAAACCTAGCTCACCACAATCCCCACTGTCAATTTTTACATGATTTCTATCATGTTAGTTAATTTTCCCAAGCACTGATTTGTTAAAAGATTAGTACAAGAGTACAAACTATGACGTGACAAACTAAGAGAAAGTGAGCAATGTATTCTCTCTGGCTACTTCCTGCTGGAGAGGGTCATTGTCGGGGGCACTGGAATAGAAGATGTTTATTTGGCATTGGTAATGTTCTCAACTTCAGGGACTCAAAGGCAGTACTTGTTGAAACATGATCTTATGAGCTCAAGGAATGCTTTGGAACAGCATACAACAACAATATAGTCCACAATGGCCAGGCGCAGTGGCTCACGCCTGTAATCCCAGCACTTTGGGAGCCAAGGTGGGCGGATCACAAGGTCAGGAGATCGAGACCATCCTGGCTAACATGGTGAAACACCATCTCTACTAAAAATACAAAAATTAGCCGGGCGTGGTGGCAGGTGTGTGTAGTCCCAGCTACTCAGGAGGCTGAGTCAGGAGAATGGCGTGAACCCAGGAGGTGGAGCTTGCAGTGAGCCAAGATCGTGCCACTGTACTCCAGCTTGGGTGACAGACAACCCCATCTCAAAAACAAACAAACAAACAAACAAAAAATATAGTCCACAACATAGTGTTAAACTTATGCCCAGGAGGAGGACACCTAAGACAACAAAAATTTTCTGCCACAGGAAGGTCCCCCATCAAACCAAGATGCTATCAGTTCATTAAGAGACAGTGCAGGACTAGAGATTGCCTTGATCCGTTGGTGCATATCCTTAAAAGCTAAAACAATGTTTCCTGAGTTATCAGGAATTGGTTTTAACTGCAGCTCAAGGAGGAAGCTGTGATCATTTGAAGTTTTCTTTATAGACCATTCTGAAATATTTTTTCTAGTTACCCCAGTCATCTGCAACCCCGTCCATTGTTTAAGATCTATAAAGAAACCTAATCTTTTCATTTTATGGGGGAGACCCACCAAAGCAATGCCTTGGTGCTAGAGAGGGGTAATAGACCACAGACCCAGCATGAGTCTTGCTGTAACCTATTTGCATAGTCTTATGCCCGTTTGATATGGTTTGGCTCAGTGTCCTCACCCAAATCTCATCTCCAATTGAAATCACCATGTGTCGAGAGAGGGACCTGATGGGAGGTGATTAGATCATGGGGGTGATTTTCTCCATGCTGTTCTCATGATGGTGAGTGAGTTCTCACAAGAGCCGATGGTTTTAAAGTGTGGGAATTGCTCTCTCTCTTTCTCCTGCCACCTTGTGAAGAACACGCTTGCTTCCCCTTCACCTTCCGCCGTGATTGTAAGTTTCCCGAGGCCTCCCCAGCCATACAGAACTGTGAGTCAGTTAAACATCTTTCCTTTATAAATTACCTAGTCTCAGGTAGTATCTTTATAGCAGTGTGAGTCCGAACTAATACACCATTGTAGGAAAAGGTTAGGAGTACAGAAAGAAACAACAAAAGATGAAGTAAGAAAAAATACTATAAAGAAAAATCCTATCATTTTTTGAACAGAAATCTTAGGCCTTCAAGGGGTTGTGCCTCCTATTTGACTATCTTGGGGTCCTCTGCTGTGAATGTTTCTTTTGGCAGGAACTTCTTTACTGTGTGTAGTGGATCCATGGCTTGATGCCCGCCAGTTTCAGTGCTGAACTGGCGGTTAGCAGCACCAGTAGGGCCCTTTCCTTTTCTCCTGTAGCTGCTGGGTTGGGCCCGTTCCCATCTGTTCTTTAACGGTACTTGATCACAGGACTGGAATGAGTGGTGTGGCTCTGCTGAGTTCATAATGCTGCTGTTGAAAGCAAGCTTATGCAAAACGTTAAGAATGTGTCCCAAGTGAGTAACACAATGTTTAATGGTTGACTTTTTATTAAGGGGCACCCTAGTAACCCAAGATGGATTAGCAGTAAAGGGTCTCTCATATATCATTTCATAGGACTTAACCTAATCCCACATCTGGGGAGGTCATTCTTACCCAGAGCAATGCAGTGCCAAGTACCTGAATTCATTTTGGTTGAGTTTCCTGGCACGGTTTGGCAATAACTGTTTTTAGTGTTGGATTTTCCTTTCAGTCTGTCCAGAAGACTATGGTCTCCATGCTGAGTTGCCAATTTATTCCAAGTGCCTTGTTTACTTGGAACAAGTGTAGGGCTCTCATAAGGGCGATCAGTTCTGCCTTCTGTGCAGAGGTTCCTAGTGGTAAAGTCCTGGCTTCTGTGACCTCTGAAAAGGTTACCATGACATATATAGCATTTCTTTTTCTGTTGGTTACCAGGCTGCTCCCATCTATGAACAATGTCCAGTGTGCATATGGCAGGGCTGTGTCCTTTAAATTAGGGTGACTGGAAAACACCTTAGTCAATAATTTGTAAACATTTTGCATAAGTTCTTTTGGCTCTTCGGTAGAGGGAAGTAAAGTAGCTGGGTTCAAGGCTCTGGTAATCTGCAATTTTACTGTGGGTTCACCTAGGAGTGTGGCCTGGTATTTGCTCGATCTGCCCACTATCAGCCAGTAGCCTCCCTTTTGTTCTAGTAACACTGGTACTTGGTGAGGCACACAGACAGTGACAGGCTATCCCAAAGTCAACTTTTTAGCCTCCTTTAATAGTAGGCAGGTGGCAGTGACCCCCGTTGAACAGGGGCCAGTCTTTGGCTACATTATTCAGTTGTTTAGGAAACTGAGCCTACTGATTGCAATATTTCTCCTAATTTCTGTGTAAGGATCCTAAGTGCTAGACCCAGTCTCTCATGCATGTACAATTGAGAGGGTTTATGAGGATTTGGGAGCCCCAGGAATAGGGTAGAGGTTAACTTACATTCCAGTTGTCCAAATGGGTGCTGGTGTTTCGCTCCCAGTCAAAGGCATCATTGTTAGCTCCCTTAACAGACTGTATAGTGGCTTCATTGGTAGTTCATAGTTAGGAATCCAGATCTAACAAAACCCAGCTATGCCTAGAAATCCTCTCAGCTACCTTCTGGTAGTGGGTGCTGCAATGGAAGCAATTGCATTTTGTCTTTCCACTGTTAGAGCTCTGGTTCCCTTCTGCAAGAGAAAACCTAAGTATGCCACAGTTTTTTGGCATGTTGGAGCCTTTTTACTTGAAACCTTATACCCACGGGTTGCTAGGTGGTTTAGAGTTTTAATGGTATTATTCTGACATTCCCATTCAGAGAGGCTAGGTATTAGTAAATCACCCACATATTGTAACAACACCCCATTTTCCAATTTTAAATTCTTTAAATTTCAAGCCAAGGCTTCCCCAAATATGTTTGGAGAGTTTTTAAATCCCGGTGGGAGCACAGTCCAATGATACTGAAACCACGTTGCGACTTCAAGATCTGTCCATTCAAAGGCAAACAACAGTTGACTTTCTGTGTCTATGGGAATGCAAAAGAAAGCATCTTTTAAATCCAGCACTGTAAACCGTTTTTAATCTCCAGGAAGAGAAATGAACGTAGTATATGGGTTAGCTACAGTGGGATGTATGTCCTCTACAATATCCCAGTTAGGGTCCCTGTGGGGAATTGCCCCATCAGGATCTGTGTTTTCATCATGAAGTCGTTGCGCCTCTTCCTTTGCTTTATTTAAAACCAGCTGCCGCTCATCTGCAGCGAGCATAATGTTTAGGAGAGCCTGCACATCTGCCCAGGTGGGCACTGGGTAGCAAATACAGTGATATTACAGGCCCAATAATGTTGACTGGAGCTCCTTGCTGATTGACTCCTACTGAGTATTGTTATAGTGGGAACTGCCCTGCTCCAGACTCAGTGACTTCCTGGCCAAAATTAGTACCTTGCCTAGTCTTAGAGGGAGACCGTAGCCCTGCTGCCTTCGTGTACTCTAGGGGCAGCAGTCCCTCTCTTTCCTGAGCTGCAGCAGTAGCCACTGTGGGGTTTG